TTTTATTTTCACTTTTCTTTTATTACAATATCTTAGCATGAGCTGGATTCTGTTTGAGCTCTGTCTTACTGTGTGCGTGGTTTTTCTTTTTTTTTCTGTTTTTTTACTAATATTTAATTAATTTTATTTAGAAAACTAAGCAATATGATAGATTATTTTTATGTTTTTTTTATTTTGATTATATAATAAAATGTTTCTTATCTTTTATCTTATTTCACTCATATATCATGCGACTTAAATTTAAAATTTTTTATTTTCAACAAAAAAATTACTATTAAACTATTTATATCATTAATAGTAATACGTAGATTTTTAAAATGAGATTTTTGTTTATTAGCTTAATTTATAAAAAAAAATGCTATTAATAGAAAAAAAGAAACTCAAAACTATAATATTTTAACAAAATATTATAAAAAATTTAAAATAATTTTATTTTTATTTTAAAATTAGAATTTTTTATTTTTAATAAAAATTACTTTAAAAACTATAATTTTAAGATTTTTTTATAAATACAATTGATAAATATTTTTTTCGTAATAAAATTTATGATTTCCTTTGCATCCTAATAGTTATTTATTTATTTAATATAATGTATTTAACGACATTATTACCTTGCTTATTTCTTGAACCACTTCAAAGTTCAAACTTTGATTTACTCCTTTAATTGTCTTTAATTTTGAATTCGAGCTGCCCTAAGTCATAGGTCTCCTTGAGCCATCCCGAAAAAATCACTCGAATTTCTACTACCCCCCAAGCAATCCTAAACCTCAAGTCATTCCTTTACTTTTTTTAAGTTCATGTTACTTCTTCAATCGTATAATTTAAAATCAAATTACAATAAATCTTACAAAAAAAAAAAACTTTTCTAATGTTTAACTTTTTATTTACAAATTTTAAATTTAAGAATTTATTTATAAAAAAAACTTTTTATACTTCATCTAATAAATTATTAGTATTTTATGTATTTTCTTGAATTGTTATAAATTGAACTTAAATCACCCCAACACTCTCCATTCCCTCATTATCTTAGATCTCGGGTCACCATGGAAAAAATAATTAGTAGTTTGGAAACATATTCTCCTCATGTAAAAATTAGTTCTAGAGGAAAAAAGAATTGAGGGCAATACACTAAGATGCACAAAATTGGTAACCAAAAATAGTATTTTTAAAGCCTTAAAAATTGGAAATTTGACCTATAATTCAGCTTTGAACATTTTGACCAAAATCAAAGACAGCCATTGGTTCCACCCCCAACCTCCAACATTTTTGTTTGTGATTCTGCCTCTGCCACTGCCATAGATTTACTGTCTCATATCATCACCAAATTCAACACGAAGGAGAGAGCAACCGCAGGGAAATGACGGGGAAAAAAGAGAAATCAAAAGAGAGAAGGGAGAAGAGACTGCAAGAGATTTCTCTTCTTAGGACCATTCCTTATTCCGATCACCAAAGGTGCTACCTTTCTTTCCTCCTTTTATTTCTTGAAAGTTTCAGTTTTTGGTTTTTGGTTGATTTTAGTATGTACCCATGTCGTTAGATCATCAAATTAGGGGAAAATAATTATAGATGTTTGTAGATTTTGGTTAAAATACTAGAGGGCAAACTCATTGGAATTGGTTCAAGTGATTATTTGTGATGTGAAAGCATGTTAAAAAGGGCAAGTTGGAGTTGGAATCTCTTTAATTTCGCCATTTGGGTATAAATAATTTCAATAAATAACGCCCTTTGTCATACTTGTATATGAGGTGGTTTATAGATATTGTAGGACTAATCGGATCAAAGGACAGGACATTCATGTTTTCAAAAAAAAAAACTAGATGGCAATGAGCTGAATGGAATTTGGCTCTTATCTAAGTTGCAAGGTTGAATCATGAATGTGAGTCTCATTTATGTTTCTCTTCTGAGGTCTGCTGGATAGGATTTAACTGTTTCATTATAGGTGGTGGTCTCAAGAAACTATTGCTGTGGTGACTGGTGCTAACAGAGGAATTGGGTTTGAGATCGCAAGACAACTAGCAGCACATGGATTGACCGTGATACTAACGTCAAGGGACACTAGTGTTGGTATCGAAGCAGCCAAGGTCTTACAAGAAGGAGGTTTCAATGTGGATGTTCATCAACTGGACATCTTGGATTCTGAATCTATCTCAAACTTTGTTGATTGGGCAAAAGAAAAATACGGCGGCATAGATATCCTGGTAAGAGAATGAGGTTGACATGGATCATGTTCCTGATTAGTTTTGTAATGCATTAATGTGTTTAGCTTTGGTTATTGCCTAGTCCAACCTTTCCCCAATTAATGTTTTGCAGGTAAATAATGCAGCTGTTAATTTCAATATTGGGACTGAGAATTCTATTGAATTCGCCAAACAAACGATTGACACTAACTATTATGGCACCAAAAACATGATTAAAGCAATGTTGCCTTTAATGAGGTGTTCTTCTCATGGTTCTCGCATTGTCAATGTAAGCTCACGGCTAGGTAAACTAAATGGCCGAAAGAATGTAAGTTAATCGTTCTCTGTTTCCCTCAAAACACACATTGACATAGCTCTCTTTCCACACTTTTTATTTTTTTGCTATCTCTGTTCCCTAATATCTAACTCAAATTCAAGCTGACTTTGCTTCACTTGACAGCGAATCGAAGATGAAGAATTGAGAGACAAATTAAGCAATTTGGACACACTTACTGAGGAACTTATTGACAACACCGTATCTACTTTCCTACAGCAAGTAGATGATGGTACCTGGGAGTCAGGAGGTTGGCCTAAGTCATGTACTGACTACTCGGTATCAAAACTCGCTGTTAATCTGTACACCAGGGTGATGGCCAAAGAACTATCGGAGCGGCCAGAAGGTGAAAAGATTTATATCAACTGCTACTGCCCTGGATCAGTGAAGACTGTCATGACAGGCTGGACGGGGAATACAACAGCTGAGAATGCAGCCGACACTGGAGTCTGGCTTTCCCTTCTTCCGGACCAAGCAATTACTGGGAAATTTTTTGCAGAGAGACGGGAAATAAACTTCTGAGGCCACTAGCCTCGCTACTGCGCATGGTTTTTGGATCATTTATATCCTTCCCAAGTTATTTTTACGCTAAGGATTCTCGTACCCTTCAGCTACTGCCTTGCAGAAAGCACTTATGGATGAAGACTAGATACTGTCACCATTGGAACAAGAATATAAATTTGGGATCCTGCAGCATCTTCAACCTCCTGCAGACTAATTCAAACAAATGATGAGTATGGAGTAATTCAAAATCTCTAATGAAACAATGTTTATTAGTATTGACATTCTTTCAATTCACCAAATAAGTTGTAGTTTAAGGGCTAAGGCTCATAACTCATAAGATGTCCTTTTTTTTCTTTTTCTTTTTTCTCTCTTTTTCTTTTTTTTGCTTGTATTCAAGTCTTTTACTATGAAGCTTCCTTTTTCAGTGGTTAGATCACAGAATTTTCATTATTTAATAATCTTATTATAAAGTACCAACAAGTGCTTTGTAAAGTAAATATTTACTAATTAAAAATTTTTAATTCAGAATTAATATTAAAAATTTAAATTTCTATAATACCTAACAATTAACTCTTTCAATGGAAAAGAAAAATTCTAATTGTAAAACACCATTCTTTGGCTATTAAGTCTTACCATCAATCCATTTCTACATGTCAAAAATGTTAAACAAAAAGTATTGTGTAGTTCATGGAGAGCAACAACCATGAGCCCGGCCCTACCCATCGCAAAGATATTGCACAGGCCAGACATGGACCACAGTCATTGTAGGGCTTCCAAGTTTCCAATGGTTCAGTTAACATAGGAGAGGCAGACTAAATAAAATTGCATCCTCAAAGCTAAAACAAGGAATAGTAGGAGGGTTTATTCTATGGTTGCATGGCCATAATGTACTTGCCTGCATAGGATACCATCCCAGGCCGCTATGGTCCGCTATGGTCCTATGGACCAGAAAGTGCCACGGTGCGATGCATCAACGAAGGGGAGTACCGCCTAGTGGAGCCACCATCTCCTACCTACCCGGCTAATTCCTACTCCCTCCTCTTTTACCCTCTCTTACTATGACCCTCGATCAAAGCAGCGATGGCAAGCCTGAGAAGAGCCTTCCTCAACGCCCACCAAATCCTAAAGTCCTCTGCTTTACCAATTCCCACTCGAACGGAGTCCCTTTTCAGGTGCCCATCAACTTTTTTCTCGCACTTTCCATTCTTCTTTTCTTGAATTTTGCTCCATCCATCTTTGTTTTTCATTCTCCTTAGGCCGCATTATGGTTGGATTTCTCGATTTTCTTCTGCTGATATTAATAACCCTCAAGCATTAGATATTGATCTCTCTAATGAAGAGAGCAAAAGACGCCTTTTCAACAGGTCGGTCTGCTTTTTTCTTTTTTTTCTTTTTTTTATGATTTGAATTTATTGGATCGGTTTAGAGATTGTGTAATTGATGAGTCTGTTTTTGGGTCTCTTCTTCTGTAGACTGTTATATAGGAGCAAACAGAGAGGATTTTTGGAATTGGATTTGGTTCTTGGTAAATGGGTGGAGGAGCATATCCATTCCATGGATGAAAATGGAATCAAAGCTCTTGTTCACGTCCTTGATTTGGTACATATATCATTCTCCTATATTTCCTGTGCCTTGTTATTGTTCTTAAATTGTGTATCTCTCCTCTTTGAATTAAAGAGCAATTTTGAAGCTTTTGAAGCAATTTATTGGTTTAGTTATCTTTGGCTGGAATGTTTTGAAGTTATAGATTTGATATGGTGAACCATACTTGGTTCAAATGCATACCTCCAGTCTCGGAATGAGTTATTTGTGAATTGAAATCTGTCCAAAGATTGATGCTGTTGTTTTGTCTTTCATAGCATGAAGTTTAGTTGTAGAATTTAGTTTGTTCAAATGTATACCTCTATCTCGCTTGCTTATTCCTTGAAATGTAATTAATCCTCCTTGTCTGCTAGTTAACCTTGGCTTGTCAATAATCTGGCTTAGCTTGGAACTTAGTGAGAAATGATCTTGCTCCCTGGGAATTTATGTCAGAGAGTTGCTATGCAGTCCCTTGAGATCTAACATGTTGATCCTATCCAATCCTAGTTGTTTAACTAAGCAGTAAGCCATGTTCTCTCACTATCTGCCGTTAACTTTGTTTTTTAGCTTGTCACTTAAGACTATTAACCCTGCCTTGCCTCCTTTGAATTTATAGCTGAGAGCGTGGATGTTGGCAATGTTCATATTGACATGCAAAAGTGCCTAATAAGCATATATGGGACACGAAAATAAAGCACAACGAAAACCTTTTGATGCTCTCAATAATACAGTTTCATTTGCCTTATCCAGCTGTACCATGCTAGTCCATGAGTTTTTAAGTTGCTATTTCCAATCAAGATGACTAGATGTTTAAATTCCTCACTTGATCTGATTCTCATCTGTTCAGCATCTTGGGTCAATGTGATTTATAATTTTAATGTGTTTTCTATAATGTTGCATGCCTTATTTTACCTATTTGATGCAAATTATAAAAGGTAATGTGGGAGTTAAGAGACAAAGCATTGCAAGATCGAGGAGAATATTGTGCAGCTGCATGAGTTTTATTTTCTGAGCGTGTTATTTCTGTAATGCAGGAAAATCCTGACCTCTGGAGATGGTTAACTGGTCAGGAGAAACCCCCTGAGGCTGTGAGCATTAATCCTGTAAGTTACCATCTCAAACATAGAGATCAGAGCTTGGTTCATATGCTTCTCTCTTGTTCCCTCAATATTGTGTTCTCATATGGTTTATTTGCCACATAGGTCTTCTCCGCAGTTCAAGAGAAGGTCATGGGAAACCTCAACAGCCATGCTGCCCCTGAGACACGAGCAACACCTGGCCAACCATGGGTAAGAGGCTGGGATGATATAAAGAAAGGTCGTGATGGCCCTATCACTGGAAACCAGTAGATCCTTTACCAGTTTTAGACGATATATCATACCTGCCCTAAAGGATGTTTTTTTGTAACAAATGTAGGACAACGTATGTATCTTCTGAGTAACTAGTTATAATAATGTGAATAAGGACACTGCACTAGTGTGAACCGGTTGGATTAAAGAGCTTTCCCCTTGGACATAGATCTTGATATGATCTTCTATCAATAATATTGTCCTCAAATGTTTGTTTTATACATCCCAACATTTTATATCAGTAGGTAGCTTCCCAACTCCCAATATCAATTCCATGGAAAATAAACCCTAAATCCTAATAGCTTTTCAAGAAAAATAAAAAAACCAATCACTTGGTTTTGACTCATACAACATCCTCTTGCAGGTTGCAGCAATATAAATTATGAATTATGAAGTATTAGTACATAATATTTACAAAATATGTACATATATATATATATATATATTTTTTTTTTGAACAAAAGGGAATTTTTCCGAAGAAAGAGAAAGTAGAATTTGATAATAAAACTTATATCATTTATGTCAAACCACACACTTTCAAGGGAATGGTCACTAGATCACCACGTGTTGGTTATATATACACATATATTTAATAATAAATTATGATTTTAATTGTCATTTAAAGTCAAAGGTTCTGTGCAAAAAAGAAAAGAAAAAATAAAATTAAGAGGTGGAGGACTTAATTGAACTATCATTTAAAGGCTAAGAACTATCCACACAAATTCTCCACCAAAAAATTCGCCGGTGAATTACGTACAAAGAAGATAATCTCACCTCTTCATTTCTGTGTCTCCGGTGTGCGATCATTGAGGATAATGGCCCCTTCAATCAAAGTTAAACCCATCTTCGTTACCCTATTATACGCTACTTTCCATCTCTCCGCCGTCGCATCAAAATCGGCGGATCCGTCTCCGGTCCCCTGGCCTCCTCAATTCCACTCAATCCTCTTCATGAACAACAGCAAAGGAAACCTCCAGAAAGTGGACCTCTGGTACGACTGGAACAACGGCCGCAACTTCAACATAATCCAGAACCAGCTCGGCAAGCTCACTTACGATCTCGAATGGGACAACGGCACCTCTTACGTCTACACCCTCGACTCCAATCGAGAGTGCCGGACCGTACATTTTCCCGTCGGAATTCTTCGTCCAAATTGGCTCGACGGGGCCAATTATCTCGGGCAACAACACGTCGACGGGTTCCTCTGCAACGTTTGGGGGAAGGTGGACTTCATTTGGTACTATGAGGATGTGGTAACCAAGAGACCTGTTCACTGGGTCTTCTTCACAGGTATCACCATTCTCCAGTTCTACGTTCTCATTCTAGAATTTGGATATTGTCATTCCCGGTCCATGATCTTTCAAGTGTGACAATTGGGTCCCTAGCAGCCTTCAAAAACAGTATGGAACAATTGGGTCCTGTTTCGGCAGCTTCGCAATCCAACGCTGTTGAAGTCCTCAGCTGCTTCTACACCTGAAAGTCCCGAGGTTGTTTCCTCGGGGAAAACACTCCA